CGGCTTGGAAGGAAAACATTCTTGAGTAACATCATTAGAAACAGCTCTGACAGCCAGGCACTGGTGGCTCACGCCTGTAATCCTAGCAACTCAGGAGGCTGAGATCTGAGGACTGCGGTTCAAAGCAGCCCAGGCAGGAACGTACATGAGACTCTTATCTCCAATTAACTACCTGATAATCGGAAATGGTGCTGTGGCTCAAGTAGTAGAGTGCTCACACTGAACTGAAGAGCTCAGGGACAGCACCCAAGCCCAGAGGTCAAGCCCCATGACTGACAAGACAACAACAACAACAACAAAAAAAAACAGCTCTGACAAAGCAAAGTCACTACTGCATATCATAAAGCAGGTACAAGGTATTTTATACTCACAGAGAGATGATACAATACTGTCCTATCCATTCTTTTATTTTATTTTTTTAAGAAACTCCTATTTTATCATGAACTTGGGATGTTGGATCACCTGCATTGGTGAAAAACTTGTGCTTTTATTCTATGTGAGGGGGAAAATGTGTCATATAGAAACCTTAATTATTTTCTTACACATGTCCTTTCATTCTGCTCTTTTCAATTTGTATGTTACATTTTGTATGTTATATATGTGTGCATATATACATTGTAATTCATTTAGAAAATCTATATTCAGTATAACACTGTACTTCCAATGTTGAAATGATTCTGATGTTGATTCTTTAGATAATTCAAGGGAGCCAAAACATCAGAAGATCACAGTTTTCATCGATTGTGTCAAGTTGAATGGCCTGTGGTAGAACTCGGCTCATCTACACTGGTGCCTTGAGGTGAAAACGCGGATGAAAACAGTGGGGGACGTACCTTGGCCCACTGAATTTTCTCTAGTAAGTCGCTGAGATTTCTTTTCACTGGAACATAATGCTTCCAGGGCTGTAGTTCCGTGTAGAAATGTTCATAATAAGGCGAGTCCTGTTTCAGAACCAGGCTGTCTCCTAGCATGAGATATGGGAACCTGTATGCAGCCACCGTCCCATCCACGTTCACCTGGTACTTGTACTGAGAGATTGCAAAACACAACCATGAGCACTCTGCTTTACTTCAGCTTCTTATCCACACT